TAAGTGTCCCAGGGGATGGGATGGAGATGCTTATGACCCTGATTGGATCATTACACATTGAGTACATATCCTGAAATGTCACACTGTACCCCATAAATGTGCACAAAATGTGCCGGTTTAAAGGAAACAGAATAACATGATTTTTTTTTTTTAAACTTTAGAGGCAACAGAGGGAAGCCATGAAAGATGGCAGCGACGTGTCAGTTTCACTAATTTAAAAATGAAGCAACCTTACCAGAGCGATGGGAAGGAAAAACTGAGTGGATTCGACAGCAACTGGGGAAGAGTCAAAGATCCATGGATAACGCAACAGGAAATAAAGGTAGCCACTGGGCCAGCATGGGGACCGTAGCTGCAAAACCAGCAGCAGCGGCCAGCATGGAGAGACAGCAGCCAGTGTGTGCCAGTGTGTGCCACTGACTTGGAAATGAGAATTCAGCTTCGTGTGCAATTTCACTATCAAAGTGATATGGCCGAGCCTGTGTGCCATACGTCCCGGCAAGACCCACAGATTGTCCCTGCCCCTTCAGGAAATGACTGAGTTCTCCAACAGGGCACCAAAGATGCCTGATCCCAGCCCTTCTCTGCCTCCTCTCTCTCCTCCCAACCAACTCATCTGCCCTGCTTCCCCTCCCCCAGCAGCATGCTGGACACCAGGGTCGGGGACCTCTGGGCGCCAGGGACACAGTCCTCTGCAGGCAAGTCATCCAGCTGTGCCACCAGGATGCTGTCACAAGGACAAACCCCCTCCTCTGTAAACAGCTGCTCTGTGAATAGCTGTGCACGCTGCTTCCATTATGTTATGCTAATGTGTCCACGTGTCAACTCTTCCTCCTCTGTCTCTGATTCCTTATTTGTCAAAGCACAACATGGCTACAGCCACATGCACATGATTAACGATTCGGCGAGTCAGCACACATAGCGCTTGGCTCTCACCTAGCGCGAAACGCTTCAGGAAATATTAGTTCTCAGCACTACAAGGGGCCGTGCCTTTCTTTTGGTTCTTCTCAGCCCACTTCGATAGCCTCTCCCTGAGTAGCACTAATCCTTTGTAATAGGTGATTATTTTCTTCCTTCTACTTTTCTATAAATATATCTTATTCCTAAGACTTAGCCATGTTTCTTCTTGGAATTGTTCTAGATCACACAGTGGCTGAGTCCTTGTCAGACCTGCACAGGTGAATTTGTCTTTAAGAAACGGCGTCCCTAATCATCAGAGCTCCTGGTAAGGGCAGGCCTAGCACTGCCAATGAGGTGCCCACTGCGCACAGTTCAGCTCTCAAGTGAGTACTCTGGTGTGGTGCCAGACCAGGCTCACAGCCTGGACCTGCTGCTCGGAGGGCCAGCCTCTGCCAGCTTCCACAATGACCAGAATATTCTAGGATGTTCTGGGATTTAACCCCAGGATCACGGCGGGGCTGCTTCAAACTGTTCTCAAGTTCCTAGCCTGGAAGTGACAGAGAAAAGGCCTCTGGTACAAGTCAGTGCCAACCTGGGGGGTCACCCTGGAGACAGTATCCCCAAGCTGTCTGCTGAAAGTCTCGAGTGTGGTAACAGAGGGGTGGGGTGCAACAGTCCAGAGCCTCAACGGTTGAGGCCAGAGTTACACCAGACACGTCATGAGGACCAGGGGTGGTGACGTCCAGATTTCTGTCACCATAACTAGAAAGCACCAGTCGGGCCTCCCATCTCTCCTGCCCCAAATCCCGTCATTTCACGCTTATGATGCAGACCATGGATTACAGAAGTCATGTGATCCTCCAGAGCAGCTTTTGTGAACTGCTGTCTTTCTGAGATTTCCGGAGGAGTCAACACAACTCCAGGGCCAGGCACTGGGAGCCGCTGGCCGTCGTGTATTAATGTCTATAGATAGATTTAGTAGTTGCTTTTTCCCAGCACTACCCAGTGTTGAGACTGTTGGGATACATCACCACTATAAAACCAGCCTGTGTCCTATCCTCCCTCACTTCAAGGGAGGGACCTGGTCAGCTCATCCTTCCATGACTGTGGATGAGTGGTCACCTGTCACCTTTTCTCTATCTGCTCAGGCTTTGGATGGCGCTGACATGTGGATACTGTGACACTATTTGGCTGTCTGTGTCCCGAGTCCTTGCTGGCCACCAGCCAGGCATGGTGAAAGACGGCATGACACATGCCCTCCTATACCCACAGGACAACCTCCTGGTGCTGGCACCAGCACAGAATGGATGCTGTGCTTTCCAGGATGGCTCCTGCCACTCTGCTCTTCACCACTGGTGCCTCCGAGTTAGCACGAATCAGAAGCTGAGCAGAAGTGGCCCCGGATACAGCCTGTCCTCACTCTCCACCAGCCGAGTCCTCAAAGGGCTGGATGCTCAGGCTCCACCCCAGTCTCCACCCTCAGAGTTCACCATCCAGAAGGAGAAAAGGCCTCTACGATTGAAGGGGACACTGCTTTGGGCCCCCAGAGGGTCTCTCCGAGGCATGGGGAGGGCTTTGGGGATGCAGTTGTGAGAAGAGGGAAGGAGCTGGAAAGGTGGACAGGAGGACCAGCTCCTGTGGGCACATCAGGGGTGACATCACCCATGCAGAGAAGAAAACACACAATAGCAAGTAGCCAGACTAGCACAGAGGTGCACGCAGGAGCTGGGTCTCCCCATGACCTCTGGAGAGCTGAAGATGTGAAATTCACTCCGCATCGCACAAGGGAACAGGAAATGCTCCCAGGGCTTTAAACAGGCAAGCAGGCTTGAGGTGAATCACTGTGGCCAGAGGAGTCCGCTGGCGGGTGTGGGGGTGGAGAGGGTGGCCCCTGGACAGCAGGAGGCCAGACGCCACTCTCAGTGCAGCTCTCCCAACACACGACGTCCCCAGAGGCACATGTCCCCACCCAGCCCTCCCCTAAGGGAGGTGGCTGGGCAACACAGAGGCTTCCTCCACCTGCAGCCTTCCTTCCCAGCCTCGGGGCCCTGGCTGACACGGGTCTTTTCCTCATTCTCTTCTCTAAATGACAAAAACACTGTGACCTTTACAGCTACTACAGCACGTAATTGAGTTTTTTAAGTTATTCTCTTTTGCTGTTGGGAAAGAAGACTGTGCTCTGAATCAGTTTATATTTGTTTTTATATGAAAATGTATCAGCCTCTCCTCCAATAGAGGTCTGAGTTTGTCTTTTTGGAGTCTGAGGAGTATCGCACAGCACAGGCGTAACACACCTTATCAATCATTACTCAGAAGACGGGCATCACGACCCAGTAAGCACCTACTTTCACAGATCTGTAGAGCAGAGCCTCAGCTATGACACGGTCAGAGCAACAGAGTTCGTGCTTTCCTGTAACAGTTGTTCGTCAATTACTTCCGAAGAGTAGCAGCAGCTCATGCACCATGAACCGTGCTGTGTCCCAGCCTTGCCTCCCGCCCCACGGACGCCTTGAGCTCGCGAGCGCCAATCCAGCAGCTCAGTGCCTTCCTGGCTACAAGGCCGAATTCCTTTCATCTACGTACTGAACACTTGACTCTCTCTTCTCGGAAATGTCTAATTTCCTATCATATATCTTCTCAGCAGCTATCTTCCCCTTATAACATTTCAGGTATTCTTTATTAGCTTTTGATCATCATATGCATTGCAAACATCTTCCTCCATCTACTTCCTTCCTTCTTTTTTTTTTTTTTTTTTTTTTAATTTATGTGTTTGGCACAGGGTCTCTCTATGCCACTCAGACTCCTAGTGATCCTCTTGTTTTCAGCCTTCCCTGCGCTGGGAGTACAGGTATGCACCACCAGGCCTGGTCTTGGTTCACCTGGGGGCAGGGTCAGCACGGGTCAATCCACTTCCTTTTAATATTGCCTTTTTTGTTTTGTGTTGTATTGTGCATTTGTTTTCTGTTACTGGAGACTGAACCCAGGCCTTTGCACTGAGTTACAACCCCAGCCCTTCTATGAAAACAAAAACCAAAAAGAATTTTTTTTTTTTTTTTTGTATTTTATGGAAGGATCTACAGGATGTTCAGGGTCTCACTACTAGATCAGACTCATAGTGATCCGCCAGTTTACAGCCTCCTAAGAGCTGGGATTACAGGCATGTACCACAACGCCCAGTCTCAATAGCCATCTCAGTGTGTCCTGGGGGTGGGACCGGCACAGCAGGCCCAGGGATCGAACCCCCAGCCTCTATGCCTGCTTGCAGGTGCTTTAATCTGCTGAGCTATTCGGCCAGCCCTATAGATTTGTTTTTGAGGCAAGGTCTTGCTAAATTACAAAAATTCCCTGGACTGGACTTGAACTGGTGACCCACCTGCCTCAGCTTCCCAGGGTCCTGGGATTACAAGCCTGCATGACCTCACCCAGATTTTATCATTTCATGTGCAGTTTCTTTTCTCTTAATTAACTGTTTTATGAAACAAAAAAGTTCATCTTGTCATTCAGAGTTTCTGGTTTTGACAAACAAGTCCTCTTCCACATCAAGCTTCATTTTCTTAAATTTACATATTTTTATAAGTGGTCTGTGCCAGAATTTGTGTACACAAAATCACCACCTACCCTAAAGGAACAGTACAAAGCAAGGTCCCCCAGGGAGCCTATCACAGAGGATGCTTTGGAACCTCCTTAAGAAAGAAGAAAGGGAAATGAAAAACATCATTTTTCCTTACACCAAGGAGCACTGCCAAACTCAATAAAAACAGTTTACAGTCCTCACAAGTACTCCTTCACCTCCTCAGCCACAAGCCCCAAGAGAGTCACTCCTGGCTCTACTCCTTGTGGTTTTATTTACACTTAAGAATTTGAAACCATACTCATTAAAGTCCTCTAAGCACTAGAGTATGGACCACCGAGTCTTGAGAAATGCAAGGAACCCTGGAGATGAGCTGGCAAGACAGCTTTGGGGGACCCTGTGGGAGCCCCTCCTGCCCCTGCGCATGCAGACCACCCATGCCCTGTAGCCTCTGCTCCTAGCTGCTCCAGCTGGACATTGTCAGCATGCCAACCTCGTCCCGCCCTCCAGCTCGCGGCTGCGTACATACCCAAACATGGCGACCAGCAGGTTGACCAGAAGGATGTTAGTGGACAGCATGTAGATGCACACCAGCGGGATGGTCACCCACTCGGGGAAGCGCGGCAGGTTGTGCTCGTCAAGCTCCACACACAGGGGCTTCGACTCGTTGCCTGTGAAGGTGCAGTGCGCGAAGTCGTACGAGGTACCTGCGGGTGCAGAGCCGAGAGGCCCAGTGAGGCCCTGCGGGGGCAGGGAAGGCCACAGCACCCAGGGAACAAGGGACCACAGATGTGGGACATCTCCAACGGGGTCCCGAAGTGCTTCGCCCAAACAGCATGGCTTTCTGAAGTTCACTTGCCCTTTGCCCTTTCCTGAGCAAGCACTATGAACCAAGGACTACACTGAGCTCAAGACCCAAGGGAAGGGAAGGCAGGTATGTCCCATGCCCGAGAGAGCTGCCAGCCCTTGGGTCTGCAGGAGACAGGTCACCCAGAAACAGTTTCCCACAAGGCAAGGGGCTTGAGCTGAAAGCAGAGGTACGAGCAGGCATCAACCACTGGATGGGGAGGAGCAGCCGCCCAGAGCATCCTAACGGAGGCAGTGGCAGTGGCACATGCCACGGCCCTGTGGCAATGGAGGTGGCAGTGAAAGCATCCCCCTCCATGAGGGCATAAGATGTCCAGGCACCAGATATGTGACACCTACAGGTTTACACTGAGAGCAGTTGGAAGCCTTTGGCTACCCTAAAGGACCACCCATCTGCAGTGTAGGTCCAAAGGCTCAGGGGCCACAGGTGAGGCAGCTGTGCTTGAGATGTGGGCAATAGGAATGGCCCCGGCTGGCACGGGAATGGAAGATGCAGTTGGATATCAAAAGCAGGAAGAGACAAAACCAACAAAACTAGCTGAGAACTTGGACCCAGTGGACTGGGTGGAAGAAGGTGTCGAGGACGACGTCAGGCTGTGATGTGCATGGAGCGGGGGTCTGAGGAAAGGCCAAGTCTGGCAAGGAGAGCTGCAGAAGCTTCCTCTGGGGCGCCAGGATGTGCCTCAAGGTCTCAGAGGATATAGGCCCCGGCCCCCGCACAGCACTGGTGTGAGGTCCTGACAGTGCCCTGCAGGGAGACTGGGCCCTAACAGGACAGAGAGGCAGAAAAGTGGAGTCACTTCCAAAGGCCACACAGCACACAGGGGCTAACCAGGCTCAGAGCCCCTCCTGCCACTCGCCCATGGGTGCCTGGTACTGCTCCCACTTGGGGTGCGAACCACCAGCGTGGTGGCCATCTGGGAGCAGCCTGCACCCACTATGGATAGCGGCAAGGACGGCCTGCAGATGGAGAGTGACAATGACAAGACACCTTTCCAGTGCTGCGCAGAGGTAGATCTGTTTCTGAGATCCAGCCAGAGTCTTCAGGGTGGAGGATGGAGACTGAGCAAATGAAAACACCAGGAAACTGAGATGCTACCTACCAGGTGGGCACTGGCTCAGGGACACCACCAGCACCATCGAGGGTGGCAAGACTGCAGATGACAAGGCAGGGCACTGGAAGTGCCCCTGTCTGCTGTCCTCCGGAGCGAGGGTGTGTCAGACTGGATGTGGGCTGACTGAAGCCACCCGTGCCACGGTGCTGCCCCCAGAGTCCAGCCAGGAAGTCAGCGTCAGACATTTAAATTCCGGGTTCTGATTCGAGTCTTTCAAATTGCTCCTTTTGGACTTGCTGATTGTGTAGAAAAGCCCTACTCACAACCCTCTTTTCTAAACGAAAAGAGGGTCCCACTGCTCCTGTTGCCGTCAGAAGTATGAGAAACAGTGTTTTATAAAGTTTTTAAAGACTGAAACACTGCTTCCAAAGTGAGATCTTACTTAGGAATAAAGGGAAGGTCTCAGGGGATTACTTTCCAGTCCCTGACATTGGACTCGGTTTGGCTGTGCACATTTGAAGCTATGGTCTGAGGGTCAGCCAGAGGTCAAGTGAGGACAACTGCCTTTGCTAGGGCCATTGTCCCCACCCATGTCGGGCTCACCGTCCACGTCGCTGGGCACCTGGCCGAACATGGCCAGGTAGGGCTCGTAGATGACGGAGCGGAAGATCCACCTCCAGCGCTGCTCGTTCTGCCTCAGGATGCCCTGCCTGGCCACCCCGAAGGCCACCATCCACACCGCAAAGAGGAACAGGAAGAAGAACACGTCGATCAGCTGCCAAGGGAGGACAGCAGACAGACCTAGGTCAGCGTGGCGCCCTGGGTGGCGCAGTTATGTGGCTGACCCTGAAGAAAGGCAGAGGACCCAGGGCCCAGAAGGCCTTCAGGACGCAGTGCTTGCCAACCACTGGAACGGAGCAGCACCTTTGGGCTTTGGGGCATCTGCTGCGCAGGATTCCACCCGGCGGGTGCATGTCTGTCCTCCCATCTCCACCCAGCTCAGAAAGTGCAGCCAACCACACCCTCTCTGTCTGTCCTCACAACCCTGGCTCTCCTTCCAGCCCCCAAATTAGTCCTGTAGGCTTTTTAAAAGGAAAATAAAAGCAGTCCTTCTTAGACAAGAATGGGCAGCTTAGTTTGTTCCCGAGTGCTGTGCACACGCAGCATGACCTCACGGTGACAGATGCTTCAGTTATGCTTTGAGTGCAAACCACAGACCCAACCTCAGCCCTGGAGAGGAGCTCGTGGATGGGTAATGCAAACGCCCTTCTGACTTCGAGACAGAAAGGTGGACACAGGTCGGCTGCGCGCTGGCCTTGGAAAGCCATATCCAGGCCAGAGTGTAACAAGCCCCTGCTGGGGTGGGTAGGAAGCAAGGCTGGCCTTGGGCCTGGCAGCAGATGCCCAGAATCCCAGTGCTCTGGGTGGCTGAGGTGGGAGGCTTACAAGTCTGAGCCCAGCCTGGGGAACTTACCAAGACCCAAACAAAAAAATAACAAAGGGTTGGGGGACAGCCCAGTCCAGAGGCCTGGAGACTGCCCCCCAGATGCACATCTCCCTCTCTGCCTGTCTCTCCCGCACTACCCTGCCATCCTGCCTAGACTCTGCTGTCTGCATCTGCACAAAGGGTACAGAACCCTCCCTGCCTGTGCCACGTGGCCGCTGGTGCTGTGCTAAATGACACCATCAGCAATTCACAGCCTGGCCTGATGTTTTAGGTGGGACAAGCCCTGATTAAAACCCAAGTTAGAAGGCAGACCCTCCCGGTCAGGACTTCCTACGAAGGCAGCACCCACTCCCTGGACAGTGCACTCCCGTCCCCATGAATAGGACCCCAACCAGAGCAAGGGAAAGGGCAGTAATGGGGTTCCTGACTCTTACCATTCTCTGCAACATTATAATCTTGGGTCCTAAGTTTCTGCTTACGGTGAAAATGTGGATCAGCCTTAGAGTAAATATGATGTAATCCAGGCAGAAAATGACGCGTCCACAGTACAGAGAGCTTTTGTTGGAGGAGTGGAGCCTACAGAAAGGGTAGAAGCACCTGTGAGCTGCTGCCCGCATCATTTCAAAGTCTGGATTTCAGAAGTACCCAAACTCAGGCGATGACTGAGCTCCAAGAGGCTGAGGAAGCAGAAAGGCGTCAGACGCACCGCTCATGCGCCACCGTCCTGCCTCACTGGGTTCCGGGAGGAGCTGGGAGGACAGGAAGGACACAGCACGCAGCTGGGCTGCCAAGGCCCCTCCCTCCCAGGCCCTGGTCCTCATGATCCTGGGGGAACCATTTGCAGCCACTTCTGAGGTCACAAGCTTTGACAGTGATACTGATGCCTACCAGCACCAGGCCCCAGAGGCCCTGACCCTGCAGCTCCCCACTAAAAATGTTGCTTCATCTTGCCAGATCATGCAGTGAGTTAACCGTGTGCTGCTGCATCCACTGAAAGCCGTGAGCGCTCCCCAGAACAATCTAGAAATCAAACACATCCTAGCAACTGGGATGCAAGTGCCCAGACCCTAATCCACACAGGGAGGAAGACCACTAGAGGGAGACACTGAACTGATTCCCTTCACTGTGGAGGGAGAACATGTTTCCTTATATAAATAAATGAGAATCATTAGCTGCAAAGCCATGCTATACGATTCTTCCGACGTTGCTGCTGATCCCACCTACAGCCCTGTGCAGTGCAGCTGCGGGGATGTGGTACCACTCTTGTGTAGGATATATAATGTCCCCTCAAGCCCTCATGCAGCCACAGCGGAGGCTTTTGCAGAGGTGACTGGATCTAGAGTGAGCGACTGATTCATGCACCCTGCAGGGCTAGCTAGGATCCAGGGTGCTGGGATTAAGGGTGCGTGGTTGCTAAATCAGTCAACTGACTGGTATGGCACTGCCCTAATCCCAGTAGCCAGACAGAGTGCAGAAGGGGCAGAAAGACACTGTGAAGACCCCGGCTTGCTTTGCTACCTTCTGCCACCAGGAACCATGTCTCTGCCATGTGCCCCCTTGCCTTGGAACCAGCTGATCATGGGCTGAAACCTCCACAGACCGTGAGCTGCACAAACCTTTCCTCTTTTAACTTTGCACATTGGGTATCTCGTCTCAGCAACAAGAAAAGTAACCAGGACAGTGAGTCCCTCGGTTTGATTCCCAACACTGGAAAAAAAAAAAAGAAAGCTCCACTGTGGGCACGTGCGCTGTAAGCCAAGGCTTGGGCATGTGCCGGCCCCCGTCACAGGGCGCACACCTTGGATTTTGCCTTCGATGGTGATTTTGGACTTCTTGTCTAACACCACACTCAGGCTCTACAACTGCAGAAATATGGTGGTCACCACAAAGGCAGACGCCACAGTCAGCATTCAAGTCAAGACCAAGAGCATCCCCAAGGGTGACAGAGCCCTCGGCAAGCTGATCCTGCAAGATATATAACTCGCAATCCTCTCCCCAAGACGCCTATGAAGAGAGAAAAGCCATAAAGAACCCTTTTTATTGTAGACACCAGGGAGAGAAGAGCAGGAGGCAGCTGGATGACACCATGCTGTCCCTCTACAAAGTGTGAACCTGACTCTCCCTAATGGGAAACAAAGCCACAGACTTCCCATGGCTTCAAGTGTCCCAAGGGTTTCCTTCGTTTTTGTGACCAAAATGCCTGAAGCAGGAGCCAACCATGAGCGCTGCTTACCGAAATACAATCCCCGCGATGAAGTAGAAGAGCCCCAGCGTGTCCATCACGTTCCACAGGTCGGTGAAGTAATTCACCCCGTTCATGTACCACTGCAGGACAAAAGGCACGGGGCGGGGGGTCAGCAGCGTAGATACCTCAGATTTGAAAGCCACTCATTTAGGGGCCAGTGTGCCACAGCCTGAGATTCCAGGAGACCAGACAGCAGGCTGAACTATGGCTCTTCTTTTCCCTGTGTGGCCAGGAAAATCAAGGAAAAGGACTTTCACACCCTTGTGCACTGTCAAGATGAACCCACTGAGTTAGGACCCCAGGGCTGCCCGGCCGCTCCCACGCTGCTGAGGGGTGTGCTGCGCAGTCCTGGTGGGTGCTAGACCTTCACAGGTTGGCGTGCTTATTATGACTTTTTTTTTTTGGTACATGGAAGGAAAAAATATATATATTTTAAAGAAAAAGAAAACAACAACAACAAAATTCTCAAACAACATGATAGGAGAGTAATAATGGTTAATACATTGCAGATGGTTTTGGCTTAGTGAAACTTTTTGAAAAATTTGCATAGGACAAGGAGAAAGGATTTTCTTTGGGAAGACTGCCTCTCTAGCAACCCATAAACTGGATTTGGGGAAACCCAGGGTGGCTATTTGACCCTTTCACTTATTCATCTACTCAAAATAGATTTCCTGAGAGTCCACAGGACTCCAAGCACTCTCGCCAGGTTCCTGGGATACAGAAGCATGCTGAGGCACATTGCTGGCCACTGAGGGGCCCGTAGTCCCATGGGAAGGCATCTGGAAAGTGTGTTTAAAATAAGATGCGGTGAGATGGTGAGATAGTTCAGCATTCTAAGTGCATTCTTAGGCAAGCATAGGGACTAGGATTTGATCCCTGATACTACATGCTGCACCAGCCCTGTCCCAGGCACACTGAGCTGGCCTGGATATGGTGGTGCACACCTGTAATCCCAGTGCTGTGGAGACTGACACAAGAGGATCATTATGAGTCCAAGCTGCACAGTGAGACCCTGTACCAAATACATGAAATAAGTAAATAAAATAAAATGAGATGCAGACAGGCTGGGCATGGCTGTAAGATGGGAGCCCATGTAACCCAAAGAGGGAAGCCACAGGGACTTTTGTGTGAGGCAGGACACCAGTGGTGGTGCCACTCAGGAAGTGAAATGCCTGGCTTCTCTGCAGGAAGTCCCCATATCCAAGTCTGTCTGGGGCTTCAATCCCGTTTCCTATAGCACCTCTGACGTCAAGGCCTCCTGATGCTAAGGCATTGGTCCTGCCTGGCTCGCAGCCTCATAGCTTGGCGGCTCCTGTTTACGTCTTCAGACCCACAGAGATCCTACAAGCTTGGGTGTGAGGAGTCAAGACCCACAGGCAACTCCGCTAGGTGTGTTGGTGCATGCCTGTCGCCAACGCTTGGGGAGACTGAGGCAGCTGGATCGCAACTGGAGCCCAGCCTGGGGAAGTCAGCGAGTCTGTCTCAAAACTAAAAAGGGTTGGGGATGTGGCTCAGTGCAAAGTCCTTGGTTCAGTGATTCAGTGCTCAGTATCATAAAATCATCATCATCATCATCATCATCATCATCATCATCATCATCATCATCATCATCATCATCATCATCCAGAAGACCTGAGCCCACTGTTGCCTGTCAAAAGCCTGCCCTGCATGACAAGGAGATGTCTTGGGTAGAAAAGCAGCTCTGGGGCTGCAGGGCTACACTGTGGGGAGAACACTTTTTAAAGAGAAGAGCCCTCTTGTCTGGGAGAAAGCCAGAGGCTGTGTTCGCAAAAGGCCAGGAGTGGATCGCCCTTGCATCGCAGGACCTGGGGACACAGAGGATCCTGGGGCTGAGAGGTGCTGGTGGTGGCGGGGTGGAGCCCGCCTGGGTTAGAAACCCCGTGTGAGCCTGTGGGTATCTGTCTTGGGCCAAGGGGATGCTGTAGACACTGCGGAGTGCAGTGTTTTGATTCCCGGAGGCCATCTGAAGCAGCAGCTTGCTGTGTGGGGTTCTTCCCGCCCCCTCTCACCATGCCCTAGGTGAACCAGGTTCATAAAGACAGCTTGAGGCACAACATGGAACAGGTATTTTTCATCGAGTATTGATATGTTGAACTTTAAGTCCCTATAGATTATGATGAAAAAACATTTAAAAAATTAAAACATATTTTAAAAATAGGCTTAATTATATAATTCTTATGTTTATACATAAGTTCAGAAATCTAACCATATACAACCTTGTAGCAGAATAGTCCCACAACATTCCTTGATATTCAGACAGATAGTGAGGTTAAGCTTAACAGCCTAGGTTGTATGGTAATAACAATAAGCTTCTCTTCTGGAGGGTTAACAACCTAAGTTTACAGACCAAAATTAGAGAAAAGGAGGGCCACAAGGAAAGCCAACATTTTGGCTCTTGCCTTCCAAGGTCAATTAAGACTCAGGATACATGAGAACTTGTACTGTAACATCATGTAACTCAGTCGTGTCCCAAATTTTCTGATCAAGGAGATTATGAGGCCAAATAGGAAAGTGATCGATGATGTAGAGTGTGCCTAAGGAGAGTCACATGGAGAGAAAACATTCTCTCAGGCTTTCACAGAGAGCACACTGGCCAAGCAATGGCCATGACTCATCCACATGGCTGACACCGACAAAGGATCTACAATCTGAGGTACAGGATCTCAGGATAAATCCTGAGGGGGTTTGACTGACCTTAACAGATGCAAAAGCTACAACTCTTGTTGCATAGGTCTCGCCTTATCTTGGTCTTAACCATCCAGCAGAAAAGTATAAAAACGAAGTATAAGAAGTAAAGCCATGGTGTTGTATTGAGCTATAGGGGACTCAGGTCAACAATTTCTGACACTGACAGTCAAGCGGAAGACCCAATACTATTATGGACTACTGGACTCTTTTAGAATATTTTGCTGAGTTAATACACCTATAATATTCAAATGATGGAACTAAACAAAAAAGGGGGATACAGATGAATGTCCATTTTGTATCTGTGTATTCAAAGTGGTTAGGATAGATATATAGTTACATTCTCTTAATAAATGGAGGGATTTGCTCTAATAGTGTTTGTAAATAGGATATCATGTCTGCATCTTGTACAGCAAATAACCACTAGGAAGAGAGTATGCAGTGTGTTAATTATTGAAACTGTCCTACCAATTTGATTTGAAACTGTCTCATTGCTATTTGTTTCTCAATAAAATTATGGAAAAACAAAACAAAACAAAAAAGATAGAATAAAGTCTCTCTAAGGTCACCTAAAAAAAAAAAAAAAGACAGCTTGAGGTGCACAGGCTGTTCTGCAAGGAAACCCAAGGCGAGAGGCTGTGCACCAAGAGCAGCAGCGCCCCCGGGTGTCGGGTGCTGTAACAACAGGACTTGGTATCCACAAGCTGCACCGGGCACAGCGTGATGCGGCAGTGACCTCTGGGGCCTGGCCGAGCCCACCCTGCAGACCCTAAGCACGGGGCGGGAGTGCTGAGTAAGCCGCCTCAAAGATAACTCTAAGGAGAAAGGGAAGAAGCCTAGGGCAGAAACCCCATGACTCCCCTGCATAGCAAATGTCACCACAGAGGGGACAGGGGACTCAGCTAGTCCGAGAGAACCCTCTCTCGAATCAGGCCCTTTTTCCTTACCGCCATCATCCTGACCACTATCAGCTCCTAACTAGTCAGTGTCCCTGCCCTGTGCCCTCCCTGAGGACAGCCTCCAAGCTGAATGCACCTGTCCAGAGCCACCTCCTACAAGACCCAAGCAGGTGACTTTGCAGCTGTTTGTGGTGACATCTGTGACTTGGAGACTCTGGACTCCACCTCCCCATAAACGTAAGATCCCCTTCCGTGGAAGCTTCTCTCTCTACTGGAGGGCTCTCAGAAATGACCTGGCCGTCCTCTCTGGCTGCTGAGAAACTCCTTAAGTGTCAGCATAGTTGTCTCAAGGTCTATGGCAGTGCCTGTCACACAGTAGGTGATCAGTAAATATTTGCTAAAGGAAAGAAGGGATGAATAAAGTCTTTGGCTTAGGCCAACACAGGTCTCGAATCTTCTTCTACCAGACTAAGTGGTGTCTTCCAAAGCAACCCAGAATAAGCCCTCTTTCTCAGCTTCATGGTTTCATTAAACATCTGAAGAGACCAGGAGCACTTGGGCCTGCCTCACTGGTCTGACACCATGTCTTCATGCCACAGGGACAGGAAGGGGACTTGGGAAGAGCCTTGTGGCAAGAAGCAGGAACAGACTTTGAAACTTCCAAAATGACTCTACTCCCCAAACTAGTATACAGATTTAATGCAACTCCAATCAAAATAGCAGTAGCATCTCTCATAGTAGAAAACAATCCTAAAATTCATATGGAACCAGAAGAGACCTGGGATGGCGAAAGCCATCCCAGGCAACAGGAGTGAAGCAGAGGCATCATGATCCCAGATTTGAAGTTATGCTACAATGCTACAGTGATAAAAACAGCATAGTGCTCACAGTAAAGCAGGCATATAAATTAACAGAACAGAATAGAAGGTGCAGAACCACATCCAGGTACAAAGGATTTTTGGTCTTTGATAAAGGAGCTAAAAACGTACACTGGAGGAAAGACAGCCTCTTTAATAAACGGGCTGTGAAAATAGCAGAAAATTGCTATAGAGATCCGTATGTGTCACCACGCACTGAACTGAAACCCAGATGACTGAAATATCTAAATGTTAAAACTGAAACATTTATACTCCTGGAAGACAGAATAGATAAATCTCTTGAAAACACAGACAGAGGAAAGGACTTTCTGAACAGACCCTCAATGGCCTAAGAAATATTAACAAGAATCAACAAGTGAGATCCTACTAAATTAAAAAGCTTCTAGAGTGAAGAAAGAACCAACCCACAGAATGGGTAAATTTTTTCCATCTATTCATCAAAAAGAGAACTAATGTCAAGAATACATAAAGAACTCAAACAATCAGACCCCCAAAATAAAAGACCGCGTCGAAGATGAGCAGCTGAAATGAACAGACACTTCCCAGAAGAAGTGCAAACAGCCAACGGACACAGGAAGAAAGGCTCAGCTAATCTCTAGCCTTTAGAGAAATGCAAATTAAAACAACACAGGGATTACACCTCACTCCGGACAGAGTGGCTGCCATCAAGAACTCAAATAGGAGCTGGGGAGATAGCTCAGTAGAATAAGCACT